GGAGTTTGAAAGGTATAGTTATATCAATAAGAGTTTTTTTTTTTTTTTTATGAAATACCAACAAGAGTTAGTTTTATTAAAAATAGTAATTTATTTTTTTTTTTTTATGAAATACCAACAAGAGTTAGTTTTATTAAAAATAGTAATTTATTATTTATATCTTTGTAATGATAAATAATTAATTTATGAATTAATATTATAACTATCAATATATTTTACTTTAAATTTTAATAAAGAAATAATTAAAAGATTTTCATTTTGGTACATAAAAGATCTTTTTATTGAAAAATTAGAAGTTGGTTTTGATTACCTACGCCCCATCGTAATGTATGAATTTAACTTTCCCTTTAAAAATAAGATTTCCTTGTTTTATAGTTTGATCTTAGTTATATTATAAAAATTTAAACTGTAAAATAGGAATTATTAGATGTAAGAGAAAGCTCTCAATATTATAAAATTTGTTCCTACTTTATAGTTAAAATTGTGCACTTTAAAATAATTTAAACTACAATATTTTTTCTTAAAAATAAAACAAAATTTTCACTTTTATTCTAAAGTAACTATGTGAAAGTTAAAAAGTTCCTTTTTTCAAAAAAAGATTCTTTTAATGGAAATTGGTAAAGGACAAAGGTGGCTAAGGACAATGTTTCGGGGTTTAATCAGAAATACCAAGAAATTTAGGGGACCGGAAGTGTGAACAGAATACAATTCTTTGCCCGGCGGCGGTTCAGAACCAGAGACGGACAGCCAGAGTTGGTGGGCAACGCACACACAAACAAACTCTTTAAATACCAGAATTCAATCTCGATTGTCATACATGAGGGCAACACCAAACCCAAATCTATCTTAAGTCTTTGAATTTCGACTCCGGAATTTTCTTTGCTGAAGAATCCGGCTGCTAAGGTTTGTTACATGCTATCAAAATGATCTGCCCCCTTTGTTTTTCCGATCTGTGCAATGCTGTTTTAAGTGTATTCGATCCATTGTTTCCTCGAATTTGAATTCTCAGACACGTTGTGAACTTTGACGTTCGGACTTATCATGTCGGATTGTTTGGTTCCTGAGAATTTGTAATTTGGATTCTTGCAATGTCATTTTTGCTTTTCTTTCTTTTCTTTTTTTTTTTTTTTTTTTTTTTTTTTTCTAGAGAGTATTGTATTTTATTTACTGTTTGCTAAGTTTCAGGGCAAAATCAAATGAAATCTTGGTTCTTTATTTCATATTTAGC